AACAAGAGAGCAGGGATCACACCTGCCAGAGAGGAGACTTGCTGGGTACAGGTAAATTTACTTTGTTTCAGTCTATCAAACTGTACATAACCAAACTTTTCTATAAAGATTTGTTTTCTTCTCATTTTGTAATTATACGTCAGCTTCATTATCTAAAATTGTATAATGTATGGATGTGTACAAAATTTGTATATCAAACATATGAGCCAAATTATTGATGATTGGCAGTTCCAAAATTTATTACACACAGCTATTTAAAGTCAAATTTTATTTTTGATAAAGGCGTGTAATATGTTTGTATGGCATTTGCCTTATATAACCATGATAAAATTATACTTACAGTAATCTGTCATTTCATACGTTATTGTATATGTATTTTTTCAAGCTGGATCCATATAGGAACTAATTAAGTATATATATATATATATATATATATATATTAATACTTGTAAATACTGTAAACATACATGTATATGATGGCCATCAGAAAAGTATCTAGGGGGAGGTTTATCATATATATAGGGGGATTCATATATGATGGCCATCAGAAAAATATCTAGGGGGAGGTTTGTATTTAACAATGTATAGCAATAATGGGCATCAAGAGGTCAGCACATTCTCATTGTAAGAACTTGTCCTTGGGTGTGACCTCACCTTTCTGGACTTCATTTCTGGATGATATCTTTGAAACAGTTGAAATCCCCACCCCATAAATCACATATAGAATTGCTTGGTATCATGAGATGAACACATTTGTTAAGTTAGAATTGACCCTTGGGTGTGGCACACCTCAAGGGACATTATTTCTGATTCGCATTATTTTTGATATATTTGAGATACCAACCTGATAATCATATAAGCTCCTTCTGGGAATCAAAAGAGAAAGGCCTTGATGATACAAGAATTTACCCATTGGTTTTACCCCATTAAAGTGTTTAAGTGACTAAGCTTTAATTTGGAAATATTCGAAATATCCAACCTATAGGCATGTATGACATTGCTGGCTGTAAGATCCAGGTGAGTGATACAGGTCCTATGGGCCTCATGTTTTTGTACACATTCTCTAAAGCCTGATGCTTTCTGCTACATGTGACATCATCAATGAAAATTATGATACAGAGTGACTAATTTTCTTCTTTCTATTTTGTATTTTAATGAGCCAAAGAGTGATTCCTATTAATTAATGCTGAGCCAAGTCTTTTATTATAATTGTTATCAGTAAACTGCTTGTAGTTACACTTTATAAGACTGAAAGGATTCAAGAATTCCATACGGATGATGGACCCCGTCTAGTTTCATTTCTGAGAAGTTATCTGTCAGAGGGGAACTATCTGGTCTTTCACCTTTTACATAAAATGTAAAGGGAGGTACATGTGTGGCACAAAGTGTGGGTATTGCTGAGTTTGACTTCCAAGAAAGATGCAGAACATTTCAAAGTAAAAGAACATGCAGTATAGGATAATTATATATCCCTCCTAATATTCTAGATAATTGCACCCTAGATTCTATTGTGATGACCATCATAAATGTATCCCCCTTAATATTTCAGATAATTGTCCCCTAGATACTATTCTGATGACCATCATAAAGGTGTCCCCCTAAATATATCAGACAATTACTATTATCCCTATTTACTATTTTACTATACTATACTTTATGCCTTCTTTCATCATTGCTAGTAAGTAATGTATGTACAATTCGATATGCAATAAATTTCTCCTAGAATCACACGATAATATTTTTCTGGTTGTTGTATATATCAATACTCTGAACAGCTGCCAAACAGCAAGATTCATTAATATTATAGATCTGTCTTCTAACATTCCCAGCTCCCATCCTCTGCCCCTGCAAGCACATCTAGTATATCAGTGTAAATTTGATATATATTATTCTTGTACAGGTAAGTAATTACCTAAACTACAGGTAAACAAGCAGTTATATCCTGCTACTATTGGCTATATACAGACAATTAGGTAAGCCCTACCCCACCTAATGCCTACGGGTGTTATGTAACACCTGACCAGGTGTAATCAGTTAATTGGACACCTGCACGGGTTACTCTGATACATGGGTTTATTCCCACCTAGCCTACATTTGAAAATATTACAGGTACATGTACAGGAAGTGTTCACGCCTCTTAACCTGAGGGTTATAGTTTGTTTCAACTAATTAACCATACCTAGAAGTAACCTCAACATTGCACCCAAGCATCCAGACTTGTGTATATTAAAGAATTGTCTTTGTTTTCATGAACAGTTTTATGCGTTATCGGTTAATAACAAAAGAATTAAAATGTCAGTGAATATTTATCAAAGTTCTGCAGTGTGAAAATATGACTATTAATCAAAGCTTATTAGCTAATTTGATTATTAATGAAAGCTGATCAGAGAAATTGTTCAATTTAAGCCATGTAGATAGAGTATATAAGAAGTCTGCACATGCCGAATATTTGCAGTCCAGCCTTACCTTGCGAAACTAACTTACTGAATCTCGTGAGATTTCAGAATTTCAGTATAAAGCATGGTCGGTACCTGCCCATTTTTCCATGCCATTAAGTACGAGTGGATGGTATCTTATATTTAACTCATTGTTCTATGCCCAGAAGGAAATTCCGAATCGCTGCATTTTGAGCTATACATTATACCAGTTTTAACATCCGGTATGTTTGCATTCCTGTATCATAGAATAATTTCAGACCACCTGAAGTGTTTCATCTTGGTTACCCAAAAGGGGCCTTATACATGATTTTATGACCTAAATTCATTAGTCAGACAGCTGTATTATATATGTAAATGAGGCTGAAGCACATATTTTATTTTCTAGCACATGATTTGGACACCTGCTTAATGGAAATGAGACTAGTGTCTTCAGATTATACCATTACGATTAAGTCCTTATAAATTAGTTTATGGTATAACCTCACATAAGCAGTAACCAAATACATGTAGTGCAGAAGTGATGAAAAATGTTCAGACCCCACGTGGGATCTATGTATTAATCGTAAGCTCTCCAGGCCGACAGTAATATGGATATTTAGTATCATTTCACACAGTATAATGGAGACTTATTGGTGACCTGTACTTCAACTTGCACGTATATTAATCTGTCAGAGTTGACCATCACATTGATAATATTTTGTACATAACATAGCTTGTCGGAATGTCTTTGTAGGCCTACCAAAATGTCTATACCTCCATCCAACTTCCCTGCCACATTCTTTCGTCAAGGGATCAATTTTCTTGATGACAATCACATATATTAAATAATCAGATATATGCAGAGTATGTTGACAAAAAGACTTGCATCCTCCGACACACATCAATATTTGGCATAGTAAACCGAATGGGAAAATATGACGAACACAAAAGATTTCCAAAGTTTATAACCAATAGTGCAGTGACACCCCTGTCTTTGGTGGATGAGTCCAATTAAAGTTTATTTTGTATAGTGTTATCTCTTGAGAGGAATTTTCGATTTTTCTTTTAAAAAAGCAAAACCAGGGAGGAAGAAGAAGAAAGAAGGTAAAAGATTCAATTTTTCAAGAACGAATAAGGATCAAGTAATAAAACGGTTCTTCAAATTTTTCATTTTGCTGTGTGCGGTGGAAAAATATAGTGCAAGACTGACTTCACATCAACAGACAATGTCGTGGCCGAAGTCTGACAGTTGCATAAAATATGTATGCATTATCTATGGAAAGTCTTAAAGCAGATTTGACCTTAATACATATTGTATTTCTTCTGAACTTTGTACAGTTAAACATGATACAATGTGCTGTGTACTTTATCTATGCCTTGACCCTGAAAAAGCATGCAGAAGGTGACCAGACATGTGGTAACAAAGGTTTGGCTGTTTTACAAACTGCATATGGATAATTTGGAATTCAGAACTTAAAAATCAGAAAACAGATATATAGTGAATAGTAACATCAATGTTTGATCAAAGGACATTTTGTTTACTTTTTAATTTTAATTTTAATTGATGTTTCATGAATATTTTTGTTTAGAAATAATACTCTACTGCCATTTAAGATTCAAAGAAGTAATTATTTTACTGCTAATCCATCCTAGAAATGTCATTTGTCACAGCTGGCAAACATTGGGTGATAAACTGATTTGTTCCTGTAATTATCACTACTTTTCCAGTTGGTAATCTAGCACAAGAATCAGAGGGAAATTCAATCCACCACATCATATCATCTGATAAGGATTTGATCTTCGCTGTTATTTGAAACTTATTATATAATATATATAGTTTTATATATGATGTATATATACTGATTAACATTGATATTGACGTCACAAGTGAGTGTGACTGGAAATATTTTCTGTTTTAAACATGTAGTGACCGCTGTTGTTCAAGATGAGTTATTGTTGGACTTTCGTCAAGAAGGTGACCATTTTTCATGAGCTTTCCTTTAAAATATCATCATGACTTCTGCTGGTTTTATGGGATTTTGGTTTTTTTTTATGTTTACATCTAGCTACCATTTATACACCATAAACAGGACCAGTTTACCTGATGTGCTAGATGCATGATAATTTTGAATTAATTATCTAACACAATTGTTAACGTCACTGTAAATAATCATGTTCATTTAATGGCTAGGTACCAGAAAAAATTATGTTGGGACTCTTGACAAGTTCAGTGACTACTTAATTGTCTGGTCCGACAGTTATCATTTTTTTTCCAACTACCCCCCCGGTAGTACTTGTAACATATCATTAATTTAACGACACAGATATTTGAGTCTCTGGGTCACATGTAACATGTCATTAATTTAACGACACAAATATTTGAGTCAGGAGGCCATTCTTCATCTTGTGGACTCGCTCAAATTTTGAGAATCCACTTGTATCTCTTTGTAACTGGACTCCTCAAAAATTTGGAAATGGTGCGCTGGACAAAATAGAAAAAATCCTTCAAAAATTTCTACCATTCTAAGCACATGTGTGCCAGACTTGCTTAGGTTTACAAAACCTTTTCTCTTGCATTTTGATTTGAAAGATTTGAAGATTCCAAAAGGTAAGTTTTAATTTTACTTAACGTCTTGTTGGACAAGTTGGTGATTGTTGGCCCCTGAATCATAAAGCTGAAAAATGCTGAATGCTGAAATACAAAGGCATTGTTTTTCATTGTGTAAAATTATGTTGTTTAATGTATCATAATTTTTATCATTTCAGTGGGATAAAATGCCAACCATTGGAGCAACTTTAATTTTTGTGGCGTTCCTTGTCATACCTTGCAAAGCAGGACAAGCCACAGAATGTTCAACAAATATAACAAGTCTTTTCTCGGAGCTAGAGAACGAGGTACAGAGGAGAGAAGACAGCATGACAGCTAGCGATATTTATCATGTGGTGTCTGAGTGGGTTCCGCTTAGTCCTAGAAATGTCACTGAACAGTGTTTACACCAGGGTGTCAATGCCACTCAGTGTTTACTCGACAAGGTAATTTGCTCCTTATGTATTTATACAATGTGAAAATAAAGGGGGTTACAATATTCATCAGGCCATGAGCTGATACCAAACGATAAGACAAGCTTACCAATATCTTCTTTTGTTCAGAAGATTAACATATCTATATCCTTGTTTAGTGATAAGCCCATCCCCTGACTGAAGATCATACAGTGATAGGCAATAAGATCACCCAGTGATGTCTACTTTGATTTATGTAGATCTGGAAACCCTTTTGATATAGAATAAAGTAAAAAACAAAAACAAAAGTTTTGCAATGTAGATACTAAAGTAAATCTGTTTTCACAAAAGCTTTCTCTTTATTTGACTCAGTGTCTGACATTCCATGAAATACTTCGTCTACACAATTTGAATGCCACCTCAAGCCTCTCACAAGATGACCTGCATAAGTTGTCTCCCCTCCTGACCTACATTGTAAGAGCCAAATCTTGTAACAACGCAGATACATCTGTAGAGGAAGAGACAGAAGAACGGCACAGAAACAAACCAACAATGGCAAAAGGTGAGTCCTGTACTAAGTTTAAATGACTTCTTTTGGTAGTTTCTGAAATTTTTTGAGAGTTTCTAGTTTAAAAAATTAGCTAGATATTAGAGGTCACCTGGCCTGAAGGGGCCATCAGAGCTGATGCTTTGTGGCATCTCTTGTCTGTCAAGCTTCAACTTTTAACTTGTTGTTAACCAACACACCAAATGTCATGGGTTTCTGAGATGCAGCTTGACCAAGACTGAGGGGTAAAAATAAATGACTATGACCTATATTCAAGGTCACAGGGGTTGAATTTGTTTCAAACTTAACACAACTTCTTCTGGCTGACAAAAATGCCCAGAGGCATGATATCTGATAGCTAGGTTCCTGGGATGAATCAGAGACGTATATACGTCTCTGGATAATCTTGACAAACTGTAGGAAAAGAAATGACCTTGACCCATATTCAAGTTCACAGGGGTGAAATTAATTAAAACTGTAAAATTACTTTTTCAGGTAACGTTAAGGTCTAGAAGAATAGCATTTAATCCTGGCACTCCTCAAAATCAAAGCATTCACAATTATTTTGAACATCTAAACAAAAACATAGAACCTAAACCCATTGCATATTTTTGCACTAACATTGTGGCATTCATTAGATAGCTCAACAAACTTCAAACAAATAACTTTGACCCATATTTAATGCCACTGTGGTAAGATTTGAACTAGCAGTACCATCAAACATCTGAAGAATATCAAAGGCCTAAAATCATAATATTTGAATGAAAAGGATGAAATATTGCGTATTTAAAGTGAGCAGTAGTACCGGGTGAGTGATGCAGGCTCATTTGGCCTCTTGTTAAGATTTACATAGGGGTGAGACAAAAAAACATATATCTTACAAGGTCAGTATTTGACTGCATGTATTGTATTCATTTATTACACTAAATGACTTTGGTTAGAGGCTTCTTGTCAAGTTCCTGTGGCACCAACAAAGCAGACATGTGAGAAAATGATTCTAATCTCAATACCTGTTCAATTAGAAAAATAGTGATATGTACAATTTGACCAAAAATTGCATATCGTCATTATATTCTTAGAATGTTCTTGATAGTTGTATTTTCCAACGAAGTCAGAGACGTCTAGAAATATTTTTCTAAGCAAAAATGATTGATATATTTGACTTAATAAAGGCCTATACAGCAAGCTTAAACTATTTAAAAGGTCATTCTTCTGGACCTTTCAGTTCACCAGAAGAAGTCATTCTAAGTGGTGTACTTAATATATTTTTTAAGGGATAAGTTCAGAATATAATTTGAATTTAAATGAAAAATGCAAATTTTGAGCAATAAATCTGCATACATAATGGCTGAGTATATTGGAGAAAAAAACGAAAAATTTTCAATAATGTGATTTGTGAAGTAAACCGTCTGTATATTGTGTTTTTAATAAGCCCAGCTCTGTACTTGTATAAGTTGGAAATATTTGTAGGGGATTTAATTTTGCTATATTCAGGCTATCAGAAATAGCATTAAACTAAATACTCTGTGAACATCTCTACAGTGAATGAAAATCTCCACAAATGTATGTCATGTTGGTTCATATGGACAGCATTTTATAGACCAGCATGAAGTTAAATGCCCATGAACTAGTCCAAGCAGGAAAACTGTGAAATAGGGATGAGTACTCTTAACAGGTGGAATATTTACATTTTTTATAAATTATATTATAATACAGCATGAAAAGATGCTGTTTTAATATACATGTAATATCATATACATTCTGTTTATATTTTCTATTCAACAAAGACAAACTTTTTGTAACATCTTATACTCACTGACCTGTCAGAGATTTGTAGTTTTATACTTTTGTGTTTTGTTTCTTTCTGAAAAACAGCATGGGGATATGGTTTTTTATTTGTCACCATAATCAACATTTGTTCATTGACTGGAGCTATGGTCCTGCCCTTTATGAAGAAATCGGTGTACAAGCAGATTCTAATCTTTATGATTGGCCTTGCTGTCGGCTGTCTGGCCGCCAATGGACTTCTCGTTCTCATACCAGAGGTATGTCATTCTGTCCTTGAGTCCCTGGCTTCAGTAATCATAAATTTTATCCAAAATTCAAATATTAATTATCATTTCATACTCTGGTTTAACAGATTTTCAAATTTTGAATTAATTTTTTTTCTTAATATCTATTAAATAACATTGACAAGATTTCATGGGGGTTAATTTTCAAGGTTTTTCCAAAAGAAATGCATGTACTGTTTCATGGAAAAATATAAGTTAATGCTTCTACTTATACACTGTACGAATTTCAACAGTTTGTTGGATGTATGATATGCAGATTAAAAGTACCCACAAAATCGATGAAAATAAAATCCAGACCAACATTTCATTGTTAACAAGCACCTTCAGTTCACAGATATTTTAATCTACATGTGCATTATAGTAAGTAGTAACTGTTTAAAATATTTACGGAAAATTAAATTCGACAACATTGATTTATTGATGGAAATTTGTTGAGTATGTCTACGTTACAACAGACTTTAACATTGCTATATTAAGTTAGTGAGTACAAATGAAAGTGATTTTTTTACACTTAGGCCCTCGGACTAATGTTCATTGAAGGACATGAAGTTAGCTGGAACTATGTATGGAAAACAACAACAGTCCTGGGCGGAATTTATCTTTTCTTCCTCATTGAACGTTTTCTCAAAATGATCCTGGACTGGAATGAGGTATGTAAACTGTGATGTCTTCACAGTCTCCTGGCCCTGGTTAGAAATAACCAGTTGTTAGTAAACATTTTTAAATACAAATCAAACAAAATTTGGAACTGATATTTTCATGTAGCTCGCCTGGGCCAAAGGGCCATGTTTATTGTACAAACTTGTTCAAATTGATTGGATGTGCCCACTTTTAATGCTAATGGTGCACATGTTGATGTATCTCTGATGAATATTAGTTTTATTTTTGATGAACAATTTGTATACCAGGAATTGATAAATAGTGTATCCCTGGTAAATACTAGCCTCAGTGGTAAATACTGGTAATTAATAGTAAATACTGGTAAATACTAGCCTCAGTGGTAAATACTGGTAATTAATAGTAAATACTGGTAAATACTAGTAAATACTGGTAATTACTAGCCTCATTGGTAAATACAGGTAATTAATAGTAAATACTGGTAAATACTAGTAAATACTGGTAATTACTAGCCTCATTGGTAAATACAGGTAATTAATAGTAAATACTGGTAATTACTAGTAAATACTAGCCACACTTGTAAATACTGGTAATTACTAACAAATACTAGTATACTGGTAAATACTAGTAAATACTGGTAAATACTAGCTCATTGGTAAATACTGGTAATTAATAGTAAATACTGGTAATTACTAGTAAATACTAGCCACACTTGTAAATACTGGTAATTACTAACAAATACTAGTAAATACTGGTAAATACTAGTAAATACTGGTAAATACTAGTAAATACTGGTAAATACTAGCCTCAGTGGTAAATACTGATAATTAATAGTAAATACTGGTAATTACTAGTAAATACTAGCCACACTTGTAAATACTAGTAATTACTAACAAATACTAGTAAATACTGGTAAATACTAGTAAATACTGGTAAATACTAGCCTCATTGGTAAATACTGGTAATTAATAGTAAATACTGGTAATTACTAAAATACTAGCCACACTTGTAAATACTGGTAATTACTAACAAATACTAGTAAATACTGGTAAATACTAGTAAATACTGGTAAATACTACTCATTGGTAAATACTGGTAATTAATAGTAAATACTGGTAATTACTAGTAAATACTAGCCACACTTGTAAATACTGGTAATTACTAACAAATACTAGTAAATACTGGTAAATACTAGTAAATACTGGTAAATACTAGCCTCATTGGTAAATACTGGTAATTAATAGTAAATACTGGTAATTACTAGTAAATACTAGCCACACTTGTAAATACTGGTAATTACTAACTACTAGGCCTCATTGGTAAATACTAATTAATAGTAAATACTGGTAATTACTAAATACTAGCCACACTTGTAAATACTAGTAATTACTAACAAATACTAGTAAATACTGGTAAATACTAGTAAATACTGGTAAATACTAGCCTCATTGGTAAATACTGGTAATTAATAGTAAATACTGGTAATTACTAGTAAATACTAGCCACACTTGTAAATACTGGTAATTACTAACAAATACTAGTAAATACTGGTAAATACTAGTAAATACTGGTAAATACTAGCCTCATTGGTAAATACTGGTAATTAATAGTAAATACTGGTAATTACTAGTAAATACTAGCCACACTTGTAAATACTGGTAATTACTAACAAATACTAGTAAATACTGGTAAATACTAGTAAATACTGGTAAATACTAGCCTCATTGGTAAATACTGGTAATTAATAGTAAATACTGGTAATTACTAGTAAATACTAGCCACACTTGTAAATACTGGTAATTACTAACAAATACTAGTAAATACTGGTAATTACTAGTAAATACTAGTAAATACTAGCCTCACTTGTAAATACTGGTAATTAATAGTAAATACTGGTAATTACTAGAAAATACTGGTAATTACTAGTAAATACTGGTAAAAACTAGCCTCACTTGTAAATACTGGTAATTATTAGTAAATACTGGTAAATACTAGTCTCACTAGTAAATACTGGTTAATACTAGGTTTTCATTAAAGAGAAATTGTATTTAGCTCAATATGTTGAAGTTAATACTAGGTAAGTCAGTGGGCCTGGGTTCAAATCCTGTTACAGTGAATTATATGGAATCTATTGGTATGATTTGTGACTTAATGCTTGGAAAGAACATTTTTAATGAGGCAATGAGTCAAAAATAAGGAAACCGTAATATATGATTTTGGTACAAAATTCTGGTGCAACCTAGAGCCAAACACTTGAGGGAATCTTGCTGTTTTGCCTTTGAAAAAATAGAATAATGAAAAAAAAAGATCTGGCAAACACTGAAATTTTATGAATGTTGAATGTCTTAGGTATCCTCCATTTTAATGTGATGTGTCTCTCAATGACTTTGCATTCTTGTTATATTCTAGCAGAACATACATTGTATGTGTACATGTTCATTCCAAGGCCTGGCATATCTCAGTGGAAACAAACAGTACAATTATTACTGAACATATTTAAAACATTTCAAAAATAAATAACAAATTCATGAAAACAATGAATTACATTTGTGTTGTGATTAAAAGTATATTTCATCAACATAGTTCTTACCTGCCAGGTGCAGGTGGATTTTCGGGACCTCCCTGATATCGTTTTTAATGTAGTTTTTTGATGTGTAAAACATAAGGGATTTTTCTCCAGCATTTCCAACTCTAAAAAACACTAGCACAGTTTTTTAGGATCTAATATATAAGTGGCAAAATATCCCATTTGCCAAAACTGCCAAGAAAGTCTGATATTTCCTGTTGTTTACTTGTCCCTGTATTGTCATGTGTTGTGTATTGTATTCATGTAAATAGCTTCTATTTTAGTCTGTCGTTGTTTTAACCAAAATATTTGATAAATTCAGAGGAGAAATGAAGACTACCTATCTGACGAACCTATCGATGATCAGGATATGTACTCCTCTATCAAGGCAAAAACACCCATCACGACAGCCCAGCGTTACAAAGACACAAAGAACCTTCCAACAAGTCTGCCAACATCTGCTAGCGAGATCCCACTGACGGACGAAAACTCACAGGATAACGTGCTCTCTATTATAGAGGTATATTGTATCTGTCTTTTTGATTCATGTATTCAAAAAGTCATGTAGGACTTGACACAGTAGACTGGTGATATCATGTTTCAACCCATTGTGGATGAAATAGGGGAATCTGAATCATTTAGTTTGCCAACATGAAGCTTGCAACTTAATAACTTAATAATCTTTCCCCAAGGTATGAGATCCCCCTATCTAACTATCAATGAGGTTGCTTTTTAAGGTCGCCTGAGCCAAAGGCTCATGGTGACCTGTTGCCATCATTATTTGTCTGTCGTCGTACGTCGTTAACTTTTCACATATTCAACTTCTTCTCAAGAACCACTGAATAGATTTTGACCAAACTTGGCACAAGGCATCCCCATGGGAAGCTGCTTCAAGTTTGCGAAGAAAACGGGTGTGGCCGCAATAGGGGCCCCAGGAGGGGGAAAAAGGGGGTAAAATTAGGTAAATCTTTAAAAATCTTCTTCTCATGAACCAACAGTCAGATTAAATTCATATTTCATATTTAGGGTCCTTATGGCAAGGTCTACAAAGTTTGCAAATGAAAAAGGGCGTGGCCCCAATAAGGCCCCAGGAGGGGGGAAAATGGGAAACTTTATACGAATGTTCTACACAAGGTCCTGGCAAGTGTTTTTTTTTAACTTTTTGGGGCGATTCAAAATCCAAGATGGCCACCCAGGCCTCTGTTTGGCTAAGACATTATGGGCTTCCTCTCAAGAACCATTGGGTGGGTCATGTTCAAACTTGGTACAGATGTTTTACACTTGGTCCAGCACAAGTGTTGATACATTTTTGCAACATTTTAAAATCCACGTGGGTTTTCCCCGGGTACTCCGGTTTCCTCCCACAATAAGACCCCTCGCGCGCTTACATCCGGGCCAACAAGAGTAATTAGTATAAGTTGACATAACTTGTTTCGCAATTGTTGTAAAATAAATAAAGTTTATATTTATATTTAAAATCCCCAGATTATTGACATATTCCTCAGGTGACCGTTAAGGCCCCTTGGGCCTCTTGTTATATATGTATTTTTATTTTCTCCTGGTCTGAAACCCGGTATGAGACATGGAAATCTGATAGTGTGTAACATGAGGATACACAAGTTGAGAGTTCGAGAACAAGAAGTCTAGAACACTGTAAAGCAGTTGTTGTACCCCTGTATTACAAATATGACAATACTTGGAGTCGATATGCTGTTTACAGATTGGGATTAGAAAGACAATTATGGATTAAAGACCTTCCTTTTTATAATCTTTATAAAACATGTATAGTGAAATTACTAAAACAACAACCTCAGGGTAATTTAGGACCTGACGAAGCCCACAAGTGGGCGAAACTGGTCGACAGTTTGAAATAAATAGTAACAACTTACTCCGAGCGTGTTACGGTTGATATCCTGCATCGTTTATCCCTACTCCCAAATTGCCCTACATACCGGGTAGGTATCTAAGCAAGGAGTGTCAAGAACACCTGTAACCAACACAAAAATAACAGTGTTGGCTCCACTCCTTGGGTTGAATGACTAGGATACAATTTACATACCTGTATGCTACTGTTACATTAGTTTAGTTCTGATTATTGTAAAAATGAAAATACCATGTTGTATACATTATATTACTAGTAAAAAATATTCACTGCACTTGATATCTTTAACACCAGTAAATTCATGAACATTTTCAACTTTGATTTAAACCTGAAGTTTCTGGAGTTTAAGAATGAAGACAGTCAGTTATATACTTGTATCAGTTGTTAACACTATTTCTGTTGTACAGAATTAACTTTCCATATAATTTACAGTTTGTTTTGATATTCTTGTGAATTATATATATATCTATATATTGTTTAAAAGAAATATTGCCATATTTTTTATATTGTGATTGGAAATGCTTTCGAAACTGTGTATCTCAGAAAAAATTTTTTGACACAGATAACACCTCAGAATGGCAACACCAAATCACATGCTAATAAACCGATTGCCACCGTGGCTTGGATGATCATATTTGGCGACGGGATGCACAACTTTATTGATGGTTTGTCCATCGGAGCAGCATTTACCGAGAGTATCCTGGCAGGCATCAGTATTTCTCTGGCCATTATCTGTGAGGAACTACCTCACGAGTTAGGTAAATATCTCTGTTCTATAATATTTCAGTACACAATCTTTTCAGACGGCTTGTCAAGGTAGCCATCTGGATCTGCCAAAGGGGAACAGTTCCAAACAAAGACAAGATGCGCCACAGACTCTAGTGTTATACAAAGCTTAGCCAAATTGATTACAGTGGGTTGTTACCATCTTCTGTACTTTTTCCTGTAATTTATTTACTATCTTACTACACTATATTCTACCTTGGTTTACATATGATTACAGTACACTCAATTGGTCGCGAGTCTCCACACTAGTCATTTGTCTGATGAAGGTCACCTGAGTCCTGGAAGCATCTTACAATCTTTTAACTGGCTAGGTTATAAGAACTTCTGTTCTAATGTTTTATAGTGTTACAGTACAGCAGTTAAGAAATCAAATACCCACTTTTCTGGTCTCGTAGATCTAAAGGCCTAATTTTGTATAGGTTATACTTGGACTGACAAATGACTAGTACCATTTTTTTTTTTTTTATTTGTTACGAAGATATATTAGGATCTCTCAATAAACAAAGGTAAAGCAAGCTTGAATTAAGTGTAAAATCATATTTTGAAATATGTATTGTTTTGTAAAAAACAGGTATTTTTTCCTTGTTTGAGCTTGAGGAAGTGGAAGGGTAAAATGTAGCATTGGAATGAGGAAGTTTTTCAGCGTTTTTGTTTTGTGATTGATGGTAGATACAGTCAGGATCTAACTGTACATGTGAAACACAAAGTAGTGAATGAAAGAAAGTATGGTAAGCAGGTGATGTTTTTGTTAAAGACGATGAGCTTACATTTTCATTTTCACAGTTTCTTTTTTCCCCGAAATGAATGATCATTAATTTGTATTTTTTCCTGCATGAACATAGTTAGAACATTATGTAAATATTTGTGATGTGAGTATTAATGATAAAATTTCAAACTTAGAATTGATTCCTTCCCATGATACAAAGTCAACAAAAAACGTTGATAAAACCTTGAATTTGCTCTTAGTATTTTCTATTGAGTTTACTAGACAAGTCCTTAATTAACAAGCTCTCATAAATAATAAGGTTTTGCAAGAATGAAAAAAAGAATTCAAAAATGAATTATATGAAGCTGGTACAGTATAACATCAAGACATATAGTTGAAGAAAATACAATAGGTGGAGTGATCAAACGCCCTGTTGGTATAGCTGGTTGGTATGTGTATTTGTAAGGGAACCCAAGATGGATACTGAGGTATTCTAATAGAGCTCCGTAGACAATAGGTATTAACAAATAGAATAAGGATAGCGTGTCAACACTGAGGATTCTGTAGTTGTTAAGTTTATTTATGCAGCAATCCGAAACATGTCAACATAAATACATCTAAACAACTTTGGAATCCTTGGTGTTGATGCTCGTCCTTATTCTACTTATTAAGACATATACCACATACCATATGCCATATTTTTATAGTTTGATCTTTACTTGCAGTGCTTAGGTCTACCCATGACTTCAGATTTTGTTTACTGGTACCAATCATAGAATTGTATTTATCTTCCTAACAGTACAAGGCAGAAAACTGAACCAAGGATAGAGGTGAATTAGTTTTCAATCCTGGTCAAGTACTGGTATATTTCTTACTGGAGTTGCCTATACCATACTGGATCAATATTTGACTCTGTTACATTTATTACACCCCCCGCAACGAAGTTAGGGGGGGGTATACTGGAATCAGGTTGTCTGTCCGTCCGTCCGTCTAGGCGTCCGTCTAGGCGTCCGTCTGTCTGTAGACACATTTTGTCCAGCTAACTCTTCCTAAACCTGTGAACCGATTTTGATGAAACTTTACAGGAATATTAAGGATCATGTGTAGATATGCATGCCCCTTTCTTTTTTTGAAAATTTTGGTAGCCATGGTAACTGGTCACTATAAACAAGTTTTCTAATAAATGTCCATAACTCCTCAGTTATTTGACCGATTGTATTCAAACTTAGGAAAAAGATGTAATTCAGTAAGGCCAATAATTGGACATATTAGACGTTTCCCAAACTGTTACCGCGGAAACACAATCCTGGCCTCTGATTGGTCAAAATTAAGATATTGTCCAATTTTGACCAAATTTGGTATATAGGGTTATTAGGGGATGCCAAACATTATAAAATAGGTTTCGTTGCCATGACAAACATGTGTAGATAGGCATTCCCCTTTCTTTTTTTGAAAAGGCCAATAATTGGACATATTAGACGTTTCCCAAACTGTTACCGCGGAAACACAATCCTGGCCTCTGATTGGTCAAAATTTAGATATTGTCCAATTTTGACCAAATTTGGTATATAGGGTTATTAGGGGATGCCAAACATTATAGAATAGGTTTTGTTGCCATGACAAACATGAGTGTTTAGTGTAGATCAAGAACATAACGGCAGACATTTTTTTTGTCTCTGTGGCCCTTCAGTGGAAAATATTACTTCAATAAAGAGGTAAGTATTGCAAGACTCTCTTGATCATGAACAACATGTATTCCACCCCTTCTGACTTCCAGAAATGCAGGCACATGCAGAATATGTCAATTACTCTCAGAATAACACTTTAACTTATCCATTGACTTGTTGCAGTGTGCGGGGGGTATTGGTCAGCCATCTAGGCGACAGTTCTAGTTCACTTTTGAATTTGTTGCAGGTGATTTTGCTATTTTGATCAACGCTGGGATGAGTATGAAGAAGGCGCTGATGTACAACTTCCTGTCTGCGTGCATGTGCTATCTGGGGCTGATAGTAGGAATGCTGTTGGGAGAAAACACACATGCACATGACTGGATCTTTGCTATAGCAGGTGGAATGTTTCTCTACATCTCACTTGTGGACATGGTAAGTCTTGTCTGCAGGGACTGGACTGATCACATCATAGTTAAAGTCTATATAGAGTTAGCCTTAGGAATGTTGGACAAGGCAGTTCTACCAGAGGTTGTAGAATTCAGATCACAAGAGTTGAGGCTACACACTCAGGCGGAATATCTCTAATCTTTAAATAATATTTGCATTTTTGTTTTAAAAAAAGTTTTGTAAAAGCAACATTGAGTGGTTGGTTGACACTGTGATAACACATAGGTTTTAACTTAGGGGACAGCGATTTGATTCCCTGTTTGTTATGGGGATCATCTGCCTGACATATGTGGGATTTACTCAGGTTCTCCTCCCTCAGTTATCCCAGGTTGAAAATATAGAAAGAATTATTCTGTCATCGTTAAGTCTCCATGGTCTCCACCTTGCCTTCATGTCTCATGTTGAATGCATTGTCTGAGAGGCTTTTGCAAGAACACAGTGACAACACAGTGAATGATGTGTCACAATTAAGTTACAAAACTGTATTTTACAGTTTTACACAGGTGTTCATGTAATGTACATCAATCACTGATTAGCTTAGAAGTCAAGCAGTAGGTTTTGTTATACATTTCAACATCTCAATAATTCCTCTCCTGTTTTTTTAATGGTTCTTTGTTGCTATTTCCTACTTTGTAGATGCCTGAGATGAACAGCGAAGCAGAGAATGAAGAAAACAAGAGGATTATTGGTGTTGTGCGTATCTTCGTACTCCAGAACCTCGGCATGATTCTCGGATTTGCCGTCATACTCATGATGACTTTGTACAGCGGCGATATCAATTTTGAATAGTAGAGAACAAGATTTACTGGGCCCTACACAAAAAGTTATGGATCAAAGATATTGGGATCATTGGCTTACTAAACGACATAAATAATAATCAAAGGATGATCAAATTCAGATACCCAATATCCATAATTAAAGAATTTCAATGCAATAATCAAAATTTGAGTTATGTATAATTTTATATAGTACAAGACAAATTCTAAATATTTTTTTTTTTTTCATACTTAACCTTTTCAAGCTTTTCAGGTTTTTTTTTTTTTGTATTTTTTTTGTTTACAAAAAATTGTTTCAGTTGGTGCTACCTAGTTTAAGGTAAACAAGAAAAATAGGATGTAATATTTTTTTTTTTTTTTTTTTGATTGTTTTTACCTAAAAAGCTACTAGCTATTGATATCCTGAAGTTGGGTTATCCTCCCTTGGACAGGTCTTCATAACAAAACTAAAGTTATAACAGTTAATACAGGTATTTGGGATCTGTATTTACAATGTTAGCGGTAAATTTTCTGTTTTTAATTTTAGAATTTAAAAAATTTCTATTTTGCAAACTTATAGCTAATAGGTTTAATTTTCTTTTTAGTTTATAATGGATTTTGTATCCAAATGTTTGCAACTATGCTTTTTTTTTTTTTTTTTTATTATTATTTTAGGTTTTTTTAAGAAATTCATCAAAACAAGACATTTTATTGTTTAAATGTATGGTTAGACGTACACATTATGTACAGTATTTATAAGTATTATACATATCACTGATGGGGTTTATGCATAATGAAGTGAGAGAAAATTTTCAAGGATTTTATTTTATTTGAAATTTTAATCACTTTGTAAGTTGGGTATTCAATATTGATTGGTGTTGTAAGATTCTACTAAGTTTTGAATTAATTATGTGGCAATTTTACTGAAATAATTAATGGTAAAATTTGCTTGAGTATTTGTACTAGATCAGAATGATCTATGTAATGTATAGACAATTATTCTTAAGTGGGTATTTTAATGGTTTATCTTTATATTTTTTTATGCTATTATGCATGGAAAAGTGCATGTTTATTCTTTCAGAGCTGACTCATGACTTTTTTTATTTGTAAAATTCTTCTATTTTGTTTTTAATTTTTTTTATATAATATCCACAACTTTATCATTACTTAGCAATGACAAATACTTCTACTCTAATAAAAAGTCAGTATGAAAAAAAAAAAATTCTTTCAAAAGTATTATAGTGCATTTTTGAAAACATTGACATAACCCCGCCCCCTTTTTTGCTCTTGAGGTATAGTAGACTTTTTACCTTTAGTGAGTCCGAAGTTTTAAGTAGTCTCAGTACGATGTTACACATTTGAGATCACTGTTTGAATATTTTACTCCTTTTTCAAGATTTGCCAACTCAATAATCTTTCCCCTTGAATTGAGATCATGTCTCATTCTTAAGGGTTTGAATGATTACGTTTTTCATGCATTTTTGAGTTTCTATACATGCAAAATTGTTGTTTTTTCGGTGATTGGGATTGTTGATTGTCAATTAATTGCTGGGGTGACGTCATTCCATTGTCCTGACAGGGGGGGATCCTGCCATCTGTCCTTAGCATATGCATGACAGGGAAATCATGCCCCACCAAAAATGTGGATATTCCTGTCAAAGATAAGAGAAATCACTGACAATAAGATTGCTTTGTTTGATGTCAGTTATGATAAGTGGTTGATAAGATGAAGAATATGTTTTGATGAGTTGAATTTTAACATATCAAGTCTTTCTAACGGTCCTCACAATGTTGTTTGCTCCTGGTAATTTGGACTTATATCCAAATGTTCCTGTTATTATAGTGGATAATGTTCAGTGACACATATATAAGATTTCTTTATAACCAAAAACATCTGTCATTGTTGTTGGTTAATATTGTATTTAAAATCACATTTCTCTCTCAACGCTTCCAAGATTTCAATTTTCATGATGAATTTGAGTTTTCTTTTAACAGTTAAATGTAAAGAGGTTTTTTTCTTTAATTTTTGTTGTTTTTGTTTTGTATTTTGATTGATGGTAGCTAAAGTATAATATTTTGTCATGTATATTGTTTGTTTCGGAGAATGGTTTTACATATCTGATCATTTGGACCACAGAAATGTTACAACTAGTCATTCTAAATCTAGTGTATCTGGACCAAGCTCATCTCTACCGATTGTTGGTTATCATTTGGTATGGTACCTACCAGTATTTGAATTTTTCAGCAAGAAATATCATACAAGACTAGAACTTAATGCCATTATACTTTAAAATAAATCCTGTTTTCTATCCATACAAGGCTTTCTAGTCCCTTCATTCGGACACTATATATAGAACTCTTCTCATTCAGTGAACCCAGGTGTTATCGGATGCTGTTTTTTCTCATTTAATTATTTTAAAACCATAGACTTTAATATTCAAAAATGCTGTCACACAGTTGTAGTGTAACATAACTTTAACAGGACAGAGTGGCCATAATTTCCCATTGTTAAGTCATTTTGACTGTGTTTACACCATTAAATGTTACAAGAACTCTGACTGGTTGCTATTAGTAGGACTAGCCAATCAGAAAGTTTGATTCAAACAAAGTTGAGTGAAGTAATACACAGTGTAATGCAATGAAAATCTGGACAAACATCTGGAAAATCAAATTGACCAAAAAGTCATTGTAAATCAATTAATTGTGTAACTAGAAGTCATTATTTTTTCCAGTCCCTCCACTAAGATTTTAACCAGGAACCTCTAGTTTATTAATTTTACGCTCAACCTATGAAACTATAGACACAATGTCTCTGGCCAAGCAGTATATTGCAGCTAGTATTTCATCAAGGTTATGATTTTTGTACCGAGGCATGACGGATAATGTTGAAATCATTTTGTTTTATCATACATGTATTTCAAGGGTTCTTGCATCCGAATACACTACACCAGGACGGCTGCATTTCTTCTTTAGCACAATGAATACATTGTCTAAAAGAAACTTTGCAGAACATATCATACAAATTTGAATGTGACTTTTTAAACAACAGACCATGTCAAGTCTCTGGTTTTCAGATATTTGTCCTTTGTCTGACAAAATATCTGTACAGACATCTTCATTTGTCTTGATTTGCCTTTATACATTAAGTACTTTTTTTCTAGTTGGGACCTATATGTATTTATTTTACAATTTTAGCTTTAAAACATGTCACAATCATACTTTTGATATCCTCAGGTTTTACACATACTGAACCAGTTATTCAGAGATTAGTTAGGAACCTCAGCGGAATTATCTGCTTACAGAATTAATGGTAGTTTTCATTTTTCTGCACATTATCAATATGGTACCATTATTTCACAGAGAAAAGCAAAAAGGCAAAGATGAATTGTAATCAAATGTATTGTATGTGATAACACAAACATTGAATTGTACAATCATATATTTGTCAAATCACTTATTTTGTCTACTTGTCCCCCTATGTGTAATGAATAAATATGAAATACCTTCCATCCGAAGTATTAAACTATTTGAAGAATGACCTTTACTGTTAAGTACATATATGTATGGTAACACCTACGCCTAAGAGAATGTCTATACAGGTGTACATGTTCTTGCATAATTCACGTAAAGTCTTATAACATGCATGTGGTAGAAATAAATCATGTTTCACTTTGTGTGCCTTAATCTTAAAGTGATATACTTGCCTGTTTTGTTTCTAACCATAAACATAAGATTTTCGCTGAGGATAATACTCCCTTTAAAAAGTTTCAAAAGTTAATTCATTACTGCAAAGTCTTTTTACGCAATTTTTTTCTTTTTATTTGATGTTTATGACTTATACGATATATATTTAAGAATATTAATTATAATCATGAGTTTATATCTGTAGAAAGGTTTGTAAACATAAGTCTTGCCTACCAAGGTCTGTATTACTTGGTGATATAATGCAAATTGATAGGAATCTGTGTTTATTTTTCTACATCAAACTATTATTTTGTTTTTTTATTGAACAAAAACTTTCTTTAAAGTCAGACTTAAAGGGAAGACTTTTTGTTTTCAGCTTGTTTATATAATAACTATACACATTGGTAAGGATTTAAATGTTTGGATGTTTTAAATGTTCATTGTTTAACTACGGAAAACGAATAATTGTTGGTTATTTTTCATATTTTTGTTTTATTATTTAGCCATATAGTTTCTATATACTTGGACATTCTAGCTGAAAGATATTTTTTTAGATTTTGTCTTTGTTATTGACTTTTTTGCATAAAATCATATGGTTATCATTTTATGACATTTTTTTTTCATATTACTTGTGTATCACATTCATCCTCTGGTCAGCCTGAAGATCCAACACTGTCTACTGTAAAATTATATGTTTCAGTTGGGCTAAATTTTCAAGATTTTTCAAAATATCACTTTTTCATGGATGTTTGATTTTGTGGATAAATAAAAGCTCAATAAAAGTATTTGTACCAAGTGTGACAGTCCATGGACAAAAGAATTTGTGATAAAGAGTAACCACGAAATTGGTGAAAATAAATGCCCCACAAAAAAGAAAGATTTTTACAGTATTGGAAGGTATTGTCAGAATCAAAATGAACTTATTGTAATGTGCTAGACTGGGTTGTTGCTGGCTAAATGTCGTATAGAATCTCATAAATGGTGAAAAAACCTGTACACGTTTCACCAAAACCATTACAACTTTAATCAGAGATGAATATACAAAACCATATCCGATGATTAAATTTTGTGTTATTCATTCAAAAAATGTTAGTCATGCACTAACCCCCCACCCCCCCCCCCCCACCCCCCACCCCACCCAATACTCGATCATTTAATGCACTGTCAATCAATGATGATGTTTGTGATACATATCCCTCTAAGTCAGCTTCTGTGATCTCATCTGTATGTTAAATGTGTTGCATGTTTGAGTCATATATTTTAAACCTCCCATTAGCTTGATGCAATGATTTCTCGACTTAAGATTGGTATATTCTGTATAACCTGTTGCCAGACGAACTACAATATTTT